TTCTAGGGAAGAAGGATAATCTTTTACAGTTGAATACAGTCACCCCCCTATAAGATATAGATACGTTCCAATTTATTAGGAATCCGATTTCTTACAAGTCGTTCCAATCACAGCCCGACACGTGTCAAGTTTACGGACTACGGCTGATTGAAAGGTTTTCTTCCATAAAATTAATCGATTCTACACTAATCCGACTCAACATTTCCAAAATACGTATATTTTTTCGTAGTTTTATAGGAATCGTAATTATAGGGACCGTAATTATAGGGGGGTCAACTGTAGTTCTAAATTCTTACATTTGAATACTCCCATCTTTAATAACTATGGATTAACTTGGATTAAGCCTGGTAATAAAAACTTTTATGTATCTAATAGTGTTTTTACAATTAAAAAGGAACATAGGAGATGAAGGAAAAAATTCTTAGTATCTAAAGTATAAAATGAGTTAAAAATTTTTGAATTATTAAATTTATATCTAGTTAGTGTTAAGAATTTTTTTTTAGGTTAAAGTGATTTTGAATTAATATGTATGTTAATGCATCAGTATTTAATATCTAAATCAGTGAATTCAAAATAAAATTTACATATGATGATGATATGATCTGATAGATATGTTAAATATTCAAACTTTTATTTTGGTAAAATTTGAAATATTTTGCAGACCTATAAAGCAACACCAACTGTAACAGGTTTTTTTGAAGTGGAGCTTGAGGATGGAACTTTACTTCATTCTAAAAAGGTATAAATATCAAATAGTGCATTTAGTTTCTATTAATAAAATAAAATGTACAAATTTTTATTAATCTTTTAGAATGGAGATGGTTTTGTTGACAGTGAAGTTAAGTTAAATAAGATTATAATGGGAATAGAGAAAGCACTTGAAGGCAGATAACTTAATGCATTATTTGCTGAAATTAAAAACGATTTTCATGCTTCATAGGTAAGAAAAAATAGTAAATTTAAGAATTAAAGAAATCAAAAATTCTTTGATTTATATTTAAAATACATTAAATGCTGTTTTTCCAGTTGAATTTTGCTAAACAATACAAATGCCTTATGAAACCAAATCCTCAAAACTTCAATGGCAAAAGGGGGATTTGGTGGAAGTCTTCAGGAGTTCTGTTGGTGAATTTTATCTGTGATCATGAAAAATCAAATTGTCCATATTAATTTTTCCAAATGAAATAATTAAGAAATTAAATTATCTGTAATTTATCAATAAAATTGTCATTAATGAACCACAGATCCATTCACTTCTTTATTTTGTAAATATCATCATAGATGTGTGCTATAATTTGTCAATCCTGTAACCTAATGAAAGAGATATGCAATGCTTGAGAATGTTATTTTCTCTGGATAAACAATTACATATTGAATTTTGGAAAAAATGTACAGTTACCTGCAGACTATATTTTTAGAACCACTGATATATGTAAGGTTTATTTATGTTACTTAACAGGAATACATTCAAAGAAATACATCATTAAGCAAGCATTATAGTGTATACTTAGACAAACCTATATGGCATAGTCTACTAATTTAGGATATATTATAATATAATTGTAACACAATGATAAATACTTATGTATCTAAACATAGGAAAGATACAGGTGGCTAAGAAGTTTTTAGTTCCATTACAGTTTTATGGCATCTCCATCACATATGGTGTGTTGTTAAGTAGCCCATACCTGTGTGTATATTTATATATCTATCCTATAAACCTTTAGTGAATTAGATTCATATTCCATACAAAACACATTTAATATTAATTCTTTTTGCCTCTTTATCCTTACTATTTTACATTTCTGTGTATATATTGTCTACTCAGACCTTGTTTATTAATCAGACTTATTATACTAGTGAAGTTTCTGATTAGCAAAGAGAGGAGATAATAGTAAAAAATCAAAACAAAATATCATTATTTTCACCTGTTTTTGTTTTGAATTTTGATTAAGACAGGAATGTCCAACCCATGGCCCACTTAGTATTTTTATGCAGCCCACTGCACCCTAAATTTTTAGGTGTATTTTCATTTACTTTGGTAAAGTATGTTGTAAAACTTATTCTTGTTTCACTGGATACACTTTGACATGGCCCACCAGTGGCTAAGCTGTTCCATTCCCTGAACACTGAAAATTCAGTTATGGGTTCACGCCTTGCTCGAACAGGTTGGCTATGTGGAGTTCTCCGAGTTTTATCCATGTCTGTAATGCCTGAATACAGGCCATTTACCCTTAAAAGATCTTCTGGAAGGCATTATTCCTGTGCATTCTGGCTATCATAATAAATGTATCCAACTACTAATACTATCCAATGAACATACACCACACATTCCATGGGGTGAAATAGCTAGAGAAGCTTGTATCCAACTTGCTACTAAACAAACAAACACTTTGATGCTATAATGACAAAACAGTTTTCTAACACCAATTACATCTACAAAACTGTTATGATTGTGGAATAGTATGTACTGTTGTGAACAATTCTTTTCATGCATGAAAAACATCAAAACTGCTGAAAGAAATAGGTTGAATGATTCCCATTTAACTAACATTTTTAGAATTAAGTACCATAAAAGCAGATAGTGACAACATTATAAAAGAAAGGCAATGTCAAAAATTGCATTGAATTTATTTGTATTTTGTGAGTGTAATTTTTTTACTGTCAGCAATACAATATTTTTTGTAATATTATATATTTGTTATTAAAATTTGATATTTACATTTTGAACTTTTTAAAAGCATATTTTTATATAAAGTACCTTTGTGGCCTGCTGAATAAACCTAAATTTCTAATTTTGCCCATTAGGAGAAAAGGTTGGACAACCCTGGACTAAGATCTCCTCTCTTTGCTAATCAGAAACTTCACCAGTGTAATAAGTCATATTAATAAACAAGGTACAAGTAGACAATATATATACATACAAACCTACATTTAATAATTTTCTCAAACTGTTTTCTTAAAAGTATAAACACAGTTTTTCATCAAGTAATGAAAACAAAATGTTTTGTTTAATCTTTAATATAATTAATTCACATTTTTTAAAATAAATTAATCTGGATGCACAGGGAGTGGTAAAGTTGAACAAACACGTTAGTTAATGTTCAATAGTGTATCCTTTTTGTGTAAACACTGCTGGAGGACATTGTGTATGAGGTATATGGATAGAATATTCAGTATAAATCAAAAAGAATGCTTTTATTGCTGTAATAAAATATAAATGAAATTATTTTAATGAATACTAATACAATTTCTATTCTGAACCAATTTTTTTTCAGTGATTTTAAAAGTTCTGAGTTTTTATGTAAGTTGAACATATTTAAACATAACTAAAAATTATTTTGAAATGTTTTAAGGGATCATAAGCACAACTTACTAGATTCAGTTCTTACATTTCAAGTTTGACTTTGCTGCTTGTCTTATTTGAATGAAGAATAAATCTGATAAATGGTTATTTAAAAAAATTTAAATTTTATATATTTTATACAACAAAACAAACAGTATAAATATGCTTGCATACATGCAAGACGTGTTCAAAAAATTTCCAGAAAGGGTAGTAAAATAAAGAAAAATATCAAAAAACAATTTTTTTTGATCAAATTTACATATGACTTGCTTGTGTCATGCTTTCCTGTGATCGTGTAGTTAGTTCTTTAATTACTATCTCGCATATGCAATAGTAATTTTTGTAAAAATTAATCAAATAACAAAGTTCTTTTTCTAATTTGTCACTGCAAAGTTTTTTTTTACTCTTTCTGCCCTGTGGGCACTAAGAGGGCCTCTTATGGCAGGCCCATTATGGGTTCGGCCAGGCCCACAATGGGGCGACCGAGTGGTGAGGGACGGGGCCCGACATATCCGAACGGACCACCCCCCAAAAAATTCCTGGGGATTCCTTGACCCATCCAGATTCAATCCTGGGTCCCCCAGAGCGGTAGGCTGCCACCTTGACCGCTCGGCCATCTGGCCTACTTCACTGCAAAGTTTAGAAGAACAGAGTTGATGCTTCAAAATTTTCATTAATTTGAGAAAAAAAACTAGAGAAATGTATATCCCATTAAAAAAACAAACTTTACAAACTGCTTTCTCCTAAAGTTTTATCATCAGAATACTTTTGAGTGGCATAAGATTTAAAACTGGATGAATTGCTATGATAATCAATGCACACATTAGCAAGAAGAACTGCAAGAAACAATAAATACATTTTTTGTAATATAGGTTCATACAATCATTTAATAATTTTTTTTTGTACTTTCACCCAAAACTGCAAAAAAGTGACAGAAAAATAATTCCAGCACAATAATGTTAGGCCACATACAGTTGTTTCAATTATTGCATGCTAAAATGTGAGGTCATTCAGCAATCACACCTATTCCCCAATCTAACTCCTGGTGACTTTTCTTTGCTGGTTTCCTTTTGAAGTTTACTTTTTGAGTCAAAAGAACTTAAACAAATCAAATTTTTCATTTTTTAAAAAAGGTGATTTTGAACTAAGAAAAATCCTAATTTCTTTACAAATAACTTAAGGAATGTTAATATTATTAGCTAAAATAAGCATCTATTTTTGTTTGTTTTATTACTAATGTTTATATAATTTTTAAATTTTATACAGAACATTTTTTGACTTTTAAAAAATTTAACAGGAAGTGTAATAACGACAATCTAAATTAATGAAAGTTTATGCAAAACAGACCTATATTTTCTGTCATTTATGCTTGTTTACTTTTATACAAATGATAGTTTCATATGAATTATAAAATTGATTTTGTGTAAGAAGTGATAAAACAAATAAAAACCACAGTCATAAGGATACAAGGATTAAATTGATGGAACACTTAGAGGACTTTAGAAAGGGAAATTTGCCCCGTATTTAGGTATTAGGTACCCGTACATGAAGTAAACTTGGAAAACCATAGCTCGTTTGGTCAGTCACGAACCCAGGATCGGTTCAAGTACCACAACACTGATGGTCTTGAAAGGATACAAAGCCATACCAATAGTTAATTTATAAAAAATTTTTTTATTAAAAATTAACAAATTTTCACAATTATCAGTGCTAAAAAGAGTGGTTACGTTGTGGGTATTACAAAATTAGTCTAGCACTCATTAATTGATTATATAAATCTTTTTTACAGATATTTTAGAAACGTGTTACTGTATAGAAATCTAGCAAAATACAAACCCAGTTCATTCAGAGGGAAGGAAAAAAAAATTTTTCCCCTATAATTCTACACTACCAAAATTCTGTGAACTGCTGCAGATCCTTCGACGCTGATGTGATCCACTCGATCCAATTCCATTCTGTGAGGTAAAACGGAACTCTGTATTCCGTTGACCAGAATCGAATAGCTTTCATTCTGGCACAAAATCTGAATTTCAAAATGGACTCCCGCCGAAAACGGAAATTTTCCCGTAACGCGAACTTCTTCGCCCCATTTCTCGTCTTGTCGACTGTTAATGACGATCATATCGTTGCCCGACGACCATCTTGGATTGTAGTGTAAAGCGATATCCGCGTGTTTGCTGTTATCGCATTGTAGATTGACTGCCATTCTGAAAGACAGGAAGAAAGAAAACGTTTAACAATGGGCAAAATGCCCAGTACTGTGGTAGGTCCAGAATTCGATATTTTGGATCGTAAATGTAATTCGAAGGCATGGAGGCCTGGAGTAAGTTCAAGTATCTCGACTGGGCCTTAATTCTTGCATATTAAAACAACGGCCCGTATAATTATACACCCGAATTATGAAGTAAATCATCGCCTGTCACTTAACGACGTTATCAAAACTTCTAATTATGGCATCAATCATTCATCTCGACATTTGAATGACATTGACTGTTGCAAAATCAGTTATTTTTGTAATATGTCTGTCTATTAACGGAATTTTTGCTAAAAATAAATTTATAGAACACGTAAACGTCCCATGAAGATAAAAGTGAATATTAGTTTAGTATGAATCGTGTGTATTTTCCGTTTTATTCAAGTTTTACTGTATTTAATATTCACTTAGTGAAATACAACACAAAAGCATTTACAGTAGTAACACAGGTTTTACTGCAGTATTTTAATATAGTAAGTAATATTTCACTAGGTGAATACCAAATACAATAAAACCTGTGTTATTACTGTAAGTATTGAAGTACTAAGTAATGTAAGCGTAACTTAAGTATTGCAACACAATACAGTACTTAGTTGTGAAGTACAGTACTTCGCTACGTGAATATTAAGTACAGTAAAACCTGCCTAAACAGAAGGAAAACTTCGGAAGGGAGCGATTTTTTGTTTTAAAAAACCCATTCAAGTCACATTTAGTGAAGTACTAAATTCATATTTAGTACTAAATTCATATTTAGTACTTCACACACACGTTCATACCTTCCTAGTTAACACTTATGCCCACGTGTCACGGTTGACGATCTGCTTGTTGTTTAAGAAGGTCAAAGGGATTCTTTCCAAGACAAACAATTGGGAAGGAACCATTTACCGCGTGTTTTTAGTTCCGTATAAGTATTTTAAGTTTAGAATTACAATATAAGAAAAATTTACACTAACCTTTCAGGCTGTTTATCGATTATACCCGATATAACGACGATATTTCCCGCTTTTAGCCCATTTATTATTCTAGAAGTAACTGGAAGCTCCTGAAATAGTGAAATAAAAGCAGAGATTAATCTGAGAATTTTTTTCTTTTGTAATTTATTTAAAAAAAAAACTTTGTAAATACCGGAAAAAATGTCTGAAATTTGGATTTCTGCAGATTCTTAATTCCTTCTTGCGAACTTTCCGCCTGCAGATGGGTCTGAAAATAAATTGTTATATAAACAATTTATCATGTCAGGAGACATTAATTCGCCTGGTGTACCAAATAGTGCGATTTATTTTGGAAAATGTCACGTGTAATTTCCGCCTGGGGAGGGAGGAATGCAGAAAATAGTTATTTCTTTTGTGATCCAGTATTCTTAGACAAAACAAGTCTCTTCCAAAAAGGTAGTCATAGTTTCGGAAATAGAAGTCGCAAATCAAAGAGTAAAAACGACTCAGACGGAAGAGATGTGTGTCGTCGGTAGGAAAATATTTTGAACCTTCTCCAAAATTGACAAGAAGCTGTTACTGACCGACATAATATAAATAGTAAGAACGGGAAAGTTAGCTTCCATTTTTAAAGTTGATGTTGATTTCTAATATAAATCATTCCAGCTGTCAGGTTTAAAACAATGGATCAAACTGATTTTTCTTTTTTAAATTTATTCTTAACATTCCCAGTTCTTCACCGAACAGGAGAATGAAACACTGAACTACACATAATGGAAGATTTGTCAGTGGAAAGTTAAGATAAGAAGCATCCTTTTTGTTTTACAATAGGAGCCTCACAGCGAAAGAAATCGATCACAAAGATGCATCATCCATAAGAAGAATAATGAAAAGTGTAGAACAAATTACAAATGCGTTGATACAGGTCTAATCTATTTATCGCGTGGTTGCAGAACACCTCGCTTTATATTGTTTTGTGGTGTTGGGGCATTTAAAAAAAATACCGCATAATTCGGGTATAAATAACTGGTCTTTAATTGGTTTCATTCTTCACAATGCATTCGTTGAATGAGTGGGCTTTTGTTCTCGCAAGACTCAAAGACAAACAAGAAAGGATCCATATCTAATTAGTTACGAGACATCTTGTTGTTTGTATTTGTAAAAGACCGTGTTGTAATGCTAAATACTTCGTTACCGAATAGATTAAAAAGTGATTTGTGCTTTTTTACAATGAAAGTATGTGTATGGAATTCACGAAGATTGATGAAAACAACACGCATTTGACAGCTTAATAGTATTAATATGTAAACACTACTTACCGGTGTGCGATCGATCCACACGTCTTCTATATTAACATCACCTTCGATATACAGTACGGAAGCGTAAGAAACGTCTAAACGATGTGAGAATAGGGCGAAGGAACTTTTGTTCACTCTAATATTAAATTCTTCTGACGAAACAGCAATCTGAAGATAAAATTGTTCACCCTCCTCAAAGGGCATCTTGCCTTTCTTTTCTTCGCTTCCCCAATTATCATCGGATCTCGTGTTACGTACGACATTACGGTCTTCAAAACGGGGGTTAAAATGCAATACGATGTCGTCGTGCTTTCCAGGACCACACTGGATGTTTGTCACAAATCTAAAAAGGAAAAACAATGTTATTTTTTGAGTGGGAGGTGAGAACAAATAGAAAAAAAAAAAAAATGTGACACTCACTGCTCTGCACCGTGATTCACAGTTCCTCTGATGTTGTATATATCTCCAATTTTGGCATTTCCTGGTATGGCTAATCTCAAATGTTTCGGCTTAAGAAGATATCGAACCATTAATCGATGATTAAAATGAAAGAATTTTCATGTTTGCAACTTACCATTGTTTCTACTGGTATGTGAAGTGACTGCACAATGAGATTCCCCTCAATACAGAGATGAGTTACGTTCGTTAACGATAAATTTTCTCTGTGGGTAAAGCTGCAGAACAGATCTCCATTGACTTCAACCTGTCAAAGAAGGACTAATTTAAATATTACGCAGCAATTTTTGAGTTATTAGAGTCGAGATCTTGAATTCTCAATACCTCGTAGGTATTTCTGTAAGAAGTGAGTATCATGAAAAAAGGCTTTCCAGGCACGAACGGGGATTCCCCATCCGTTTCTTCCTTACCCCATTCTTCTTTATATCTACTGTTTCTAACAACTTGTCTACCGGCATCACTGGGAAATCGTGGATTAAAATGGAAATATATATCAGCAGTTTCGTCACAGGCACCTCTTTGCAGGTTCACAGAAAACCTGTATTTTAGTAAAAGGAAAGGATAATTAACAAGACAGTTTCGCACGAGAAATTCTCGAATGAATTATTATGCATATGAATCATTAATATTATATTATCAAAGCTGTCCGTTATTCTCTACATTGCACGCGACACCGACGCTGCCAAAATAGTATGACGTTCTCCACACCTCAAACATTGGATACATTCCAACATCACGTCAACATGCCGATAATAAATGACGTCTCGCGCGTCTATTTTCTTAAGATATTTCTTAAAAATTTAATTTTAACCACTTAAAAACTTGCCCGGAACAATCGTTGGGCACAATTCCCTTGATGTAGATCTTGCTACCTATGTTAAGTCCACCGGGTAATCCACAGATGCACGGCAGCGACTAAACGGTAAAAAAAAAATTACAAAAAATGGAAAATAAAGATACACGCCGTGTTAACTTAGTTAAAAAAATGAATAATTAATTAAAGAATTTACCGGATTTCTGTAATGCAAACCCGCTTCAATATCGGCTTTCTGTATCAGTTTATCGAGAAGAGTCATTCTTGTCCGCCACTTTCTTTACAACAAACAAATATGCCGTTTGGTTTGGTAGCAATCCACGTACCGAAACCGCCCAAATGTGCTCGATTCTGGTTGGTTCGATACGAGTGTGACGTTTAATACAAGTGGCGGTGACGTAGATTAACAGGTGTTACATTCCTTTCGATATTAGTAAATATTGTTATATCGCTTAGTTGGAAAGGAATTTTGTCGACTCGAACAGATTTCCAGTTCTTTTGTCATTCGAAATAAATAGTTTTGTGAGTGTTCTTGCCCTATTTTAATTATTCTTAACTTTTTTAACGGTCACGTTGCCAAATTCGTGTATTGTCGAGTTTGATAACACGAGAACGTGTTAATTAAAAGACACGCTTTAGTACAGACGCACCTCCAACAACGTCCATTTTTTAAACAAAAATACATACATACAGTATAACTTCCACACAACGGATATTTTTATAATATTCCCGTCCGTGGTAGTTGTTCGGAGGTTTGTACTTGGAATAAAAATCTATAGAAATAAAGTAGTATTGAAAGAAGTCGATAGAGTCGAACGGTTTTTATTATCTTTATTGTTCGTTAGTTGTTGTATAAAGCTTTAATGATTGTCTGGAATTAATTAGCAGGAGGCCTACCTGTACTTCAAACTTTCAATAAAGAACTTACTAAACAATTGACTATACATCTACATATATAAAGAATGTTTATAAAGGGGTGTGTAAACCAATTTTTAAGGCTGTATGAGGGCAGATTCATGTAGGAAATTCACGAAAGTTTAGAAGTGAATTGCTGTTCTAATGTGAACAGTTCAAAAAAAAAGAACTGATCTTATACTTTGTCTTAAACAATTACACACAATTACACATAATTATATGCTTAAATTATGTTTAAATTATTGATAATATAATGCTAATAACATACAGATGTACAGTACAAACAATACTAAGTAGACACAAACTAGACTAATGGAAAAGTCAAGGCTACGTAAAAAATTTAAGTCTAATTATATCACATTTTTATAGAACAATTCTAAAATAAAAATTATATTTAATATACAAGATATTTAAAGTATTTTTAATTTAAAATTAGACTAAATTCTGGGTATTAGGCCTACTGTATGTCATGAGTAAATTAGTGATTCCAGAATCTCCCTGAGTAATAGTCACTTAATAGTGTAGTGTAGGCCTATAGTGTATTTATTTGGGCATCAAACGAGATATTTTTAAGTAACTTTGTGCAAGTGTCAACAGTTGAAGCATAATTTAAATATTCTAATTTACTCATTTTGTCTTATGTAATGCTAATTGTTAAGTATATTTAGGCCTGTGTATAATAAGATTATGGATTATTCACCTCGTGTTACACATTTATTACTTATTATATTTTATTACAAAACGAGGAATTTCAAAAATATACAAGTTGAAATTCCTTATCTTATGTTTTATTGTGTAAGAACTGGTACTGTGTTTAATAAATGACAGAGCACATTGTTCTGATATTTTACATTTAAGTTTAACTCGAAATCGAATAGTCATATTATAAATTATTCTGTCGAATTGTTTGTTCCGTTAAGCTTAAATGTTGTGTCATTAGAAGGCAACGCTGTCGTTTGGCCCGGAGGGCTCCTTAAATTTAGTCTTCTATTTAATAAAATATGACACTATAGATTGGGTTTGGGTTCCATTCGAGGCTTTCGTTATACACGAATATGAATTAACTACTGAATGTAACATTACACAAGTTTATTATTATGAATTTTAATTGTTATTAGCAGATGGCCGAGGCTGTTAAAGAGTGGTCCTACCGCTCTGGGGGACGAGGAATCAAATCCGGGCGAGTGACTTCAGGAATTTTTCACCTGTCATCCTGCTAAACCCACGATGGGTATAGAAAAAAGGCCTGTAAGTGCCCACAGGGAGGAAAGAGCTAAAAAAAACACACACACAAATTAAAATAATGGGAATTAATATTAAGGAAATAAATCTTTGGACTTATTTATACCGGAAATTTTTACTACAATAAGCTAATTTTGAAACAAGTTAACAATTTCCTCAAGGTCGATATAGTGATTAAACTTTCAGACCTGTCTATGACGTCAGCGGCTTTGGTGCCAGACCGGATACAGCATAAAACGATGGCTCCAGTCTCACCTCGCACATCTTGTCCTTGATATATGTAATTTAGATCTACAATTGTCTCAGCCGAATAAGAATTGCCAAAATATATACACGATACGGTTAAAAATTTTTGGAAATTCTTTCTTTTTATTGAGTCAAGAGGATATCCACTTTACTTTCTCTGTTAGACGTTATTTTTAAAATTTTCTGGCTTGGTTATTATGCCAAAAAGTCGAATTTATTACCAATGGTTTAGTCACAAAGTATGTGTTTTTATTAATTGTGCTTTATTTAGTAATTGTTAAAGAAAAAATATAAGAGGTGGCGCCATTAATATCTATTACGGTATTAAAACTAATTCGGATGTTGAACAATAAACTCGAAGGTTTTTATTTTTTTCCGGATAAAATGGAGAGAGGTATGATTCATCTGTATCATATCTGTAGGTGCAGTGTGTAGGCACCGGCTTGCTTAGTTAATCCCCTCGTTTATAATGTTAGAAATAAATAAAATTATGACAAACTTAACAGTTGTGTACACGATTATACATCATTTACGCATGTAGAAAGGTGAAAGTGAAGCTAGTCTTCAGCTGTAGGGACTCTACCTTTATTTCCAATGTTTGCCTCGAATTACTTTGAGAATTACGATTATAATATGTGGAGTTTTTACGCCATCCTAAGGTCAATGAACGGTCAATATTGGGAATAAGGGGCCAAAGCTCCCCTAGTAAAATATAACAAATTAATATAAAATGAAGACAAAAGATTTGCCTTAAGATTTATATATTTTCTTTTGGGGGGCGCTTCCGACGTTCGTCAGTGTTGGTGAGTTTTTGAGTGAGCTGTTTTTTATTGAATTATAGTGCTTTGGATATGTTTGCTTCTACAAAATGTNTAAAGTTTAAATATATATGTTTTTTAAATTATGTAAACATCTAAATAGTTTCGTAACATTTAGAAATCAGAATTATTATTAGAAAACAATAATTATTACAGAGAACTACTGTTTTATAAGTTATGTCATATAGTCTACTTTTAGCTATTACCAGATATTAATTGAAATGTATTTACAATTTTGACATTATATTTCGTTAAAACGATACGATTATTTGTCATAAATCCGCAATTTCATCCAAATTAGTATTTATTATCTTTGTAATTGTTGACTACACGGAAACTTCGAAACAAAAATGGCCGCTTTTCCTTTTCGTCCAATCAACATCGCACGATTGCATAAAGCATGCCGAAAAGGATTGTGGTACTTTCCATATCTAAAGCTTTAGGTAAGAATATAGTGTTGTAATATTAATTAATTTTCTCAATCAAAATTTTAAGTTTCATTTTGACAATGGATGGCAAGTTTTCCGCACTTGCTTTTATGCCTACCTTTTTCAATTTATTTAGTTTTTACTTTGTTAAGGCCTAGGCCTGTTTAGGTCTGTAATAATTTTACTTGTTTTTAAAATAAACTTGACTTCGTAGTTGTATTCTGCACGAGGAACCTTTTAATTAATAAACGGAAACTACGTTTCGTTCTTGTAAGAACCGCTGGTTGGCGTGCAAAGCAAAGTAACCCTTTGTTTGCCTTAAAATATCAAAAATACGTTTCAAAGATAAGACAAACTAGGTTATTTACTTTCAAAGATATTTCTATATGAAGTTAAAATCTATTGAATTTCAAATAATTCGGTTATTTCATTGTCTAATTGATCGGAAATACAATCGATTCCATAAATTTAATCGTTTATGGTCACGATAATTTCAATGCACGGTGTGATGAATCAATAAAATAATAATTACAGAGAATGTTGAATGAAATTAATTGAATAGTTTGCCAGCCGAGCGGCAAAATGATCGTCTACACCGCCACGAAGGATCCGGGTTCAAATCCGATTCGAATCTTTGGCTCTCATTTAGTCTGTCATCTCTATGACACTAACGCTCTAAATTCAACGTTGCTGGAGATTGCTTTTTCTGATCGCTAAGCAACTTATTCTCTTAAGGCACACCAGGAAATAAATTTCCTCAATAAACTAATGCTCATTTTACGAGGATAACACTCAAGTATTCGATAAGAATGACGTGTTTTCCATTTAAACAGTTAAGTCATTCATTTGCATAATGTTTCTGGAAAGACTACCCTATTGGTAATAATGAACAGACAAGGGAAAAGTACAAAAAAGAAAAGAAAAAAAATTAACGCAATTTTTGAGGTGTGTCATTACAAATATTAGTTTGACAAAATTGAAGTTATATTGTTACGCATTCTAGTCACGTGTCTGGATGATTTGCATGCTGTTACAGTTTTTCTCTCCTGAAGACGAGCGTGCTGGTTAATCACGTGATTGAATGTGGAAGAAACCGGAAAAGTGAGATAAAGACACAGGCAGAGGATCTAACATGCAAACCAGCAAGATATTACGGTATGAAACAAGTGTTCTATCTGTTATTCGTATTATTTTTATTACTAGTTTTTCGTATTGTTTTGTAACGTGTTGAAATTAACCTGTAGAATAAGCCAAATTTAAGAATCGTATAAAGGAAACTTGTATTTTCCGGTCCCGAAATCGCACGTCCAGTAAAGTTGGAGCATTTGCTCTGTTATCGATGTCGTAAGAGGAACGTATATTGGCATGATAATGACAAGCGTAACCTTCGTAATTAAAATTTTAAAGCCATCGTCATTGACACTACAATAATTTATCATACAATGCTACTGTGGTTGCCAAACTGTGATCCTCTGACCCTTTTGATCCTGGAGATACTTTTGGAGGATTCGAAAGTCCATTTTCTAAAAACGATTTTACTCCTTATTAGCATTTACAATTTTTTTTTTTTTTTTTATAAAACCCACACCTATCCTCAAAATTAAACCTTTTTTTTTAATGTTAACAGATTGCGCCACCAAATGTTGCCGGGAAAGGCAAGCAATTCGTTGCTGGATATTTTTTACTTGTATTAAATTTTACAATATCTTAATTATGTTATTTTAATGAAATTTTTTTTTTCAAATTAACGCAATTCAAGATCGTCAAAAATACAGTAATAAAATACAATAATAATAAGCACCCGGGGTATCTTATATTTTATTAAAATTAATTACCATCTAAAAAGGGGCGAGTTTCATCCATAGAAAGTCTCCCGCCCGTTGCCGTATTTCATTAAACTTATTGATAATAGGTGAGGACGAATAATTTAAAAAATAACTTCAATATTTATTCAGTATACAAAGTTACGTTATTCTCACAATCGTGCTTCTGTTACAACAATTCACTAATTCGATTTTATTATCTGCTGCTTAAATAATAAGTCCAATAGGACAAAGAAAAGAGGGCGAACAGAGTTGGAAACACAATTCTGGACGCTCTGTCGTAACAATTGACATCTTTTTCCTTCATAAATCCTTGTGTTTTGTCTCTCAAGTACGACAACCACGTTTTCGCCACTTTCTTTGACACTCTCTTATCGTCCGTTTGCGCGCAAGATGGCCGAATGTTGATGACCTTCGCCTAGAAAATACAAAAAAACGGACAAGATATATGAAATTTCACGTTAGAGTAGGTTGTTTTACGAAATATTGTGAAATACCTTCATTTTTCCCTTGGAAGATTCGTATCCTAAAGCGTATTCCACTAAAGAAAAGAATACCATAAGTATACAAACTATAAACCAGACATCCAAAGCCTTCAGATAGTCCGCGGGGGGGACGAAACTTCTGGACTGAACTAAATGCGTCACTAGGGTAAGGATTGAAGTGACTCCTAGTGTGATACGAGCGGGCGCTGCGTTGATATCGATCCAGAATGAGAGCCAGGAAAGCACCACCACCAATGTACTGGGAATATAAATGTTCATCATGTTACCGGTCAGGCGCCGTATAAAGGTAAAATTGGCGCACAACAGCGTGAAATTACCTATAAAAGACATCGTAAAATAACTGTTAGGTAGGCCATATTGAATTTTCTTACAGCCCCAATAATTAAATCTAGTCTAGCCCATCGGAGTAATTCAGATTTACAGACCAAATAAATTTTGCAACATCGCGCCATTAAGACTGCTCTGGGTTCGAATTCCAAATCTTCCGATTGGAATTTGTAACTTAACAGGTCAATAGGCCGTACATAAATTACGTAATACGGATGTGGGTGGATTTGCAGGAAATCGTTACGATGCGTTACAGTGTTTATAAAAACATAATGCCCGGACAACAGTGTTGCGTAGCGAACCGTATTGTTTACGTCACAGTTTTGCATGTTGCACGTGTAATTAATAATAAAGTAATGCAACGTTCGGTTCCCCGTGCTGTATACAATTAATGAATATACAGTATATATCCCTATAATATAACATTAAATATATATATATATACATTATTATACTTCACCATATACTGTATTATATTTATGGTATACTATATAGCAGTGTTTCCCAACCTTTATTTTGTGCTATACCCCACATAAGCCTTTCTAATACTGTATTCTTATGCCTCCCTAACATATACAGCGGCTATATGGTTAACTTAAATATAGGGTATATATGTACACTACACACCTTTTTATATAGTAAATATTCCACAGTTTATAAGGAAAATAAAACAGAATATTATGTAAATACAGTATATAATTTAACCGATTAGAATATAAAAATATTATTTTATAACGCGTTTTCTGTTATCGGAAAAGGCCCAGTAATAAATGACTTACCGCTAACCCATCTTTGCATTAGTTTGTTCGTTGTGACGTCTATAATTTCAAATTTCAACAGATTCATATTTCGGAGATGAATACTTCTTCCGTAATTTCGATAAGGACTATCTTTTTCTCCCATCCATTTCAGTATTGCTTCTCGATCCGTATTCGCCACTTTATTATTAAATAAAATCATTTAAAGTATTCTCTAGATAAGGTTATCGGTAGTATTAAAATTTAAATGACTTACTAAATGATATTAAAAAGGTACAATGCTGAACGTCCATGGGAAAATTGTGCAGATTCATCATACAATTGACAATAAAATTGATTCTAAACAGAAAATAAAAGTATATTAATTCATTTGAAATCTGGAAAATTAACAATTAGCATTGTTTGTTGTTCGCTTTCTTTGAAAACAGCTTACTATAGAAGATTTTTTTTTTTTGGAAGTTATTCAAAGTTTCTTTAAGTGAATGGCCGTCGAACTTCGATTTATTTACTTTAGGCCACGTCTTAAGGAACTATTGGAATGTTTTCAATGTTTATTGAGAAAAACAGAAGTTAAGAATGTCAAATTCGGTATTTGTAAAATATTCAAATACCAAACGAATAGCGGGTTCTCTATTGGGCTATTATAAGATTATAATTACTAAGCAATTTGGCAGAAGGCAGAACCGCTAGGCCGCCCTCTCTTGTTAAATATAGTAAGTCATTTTACGTTTTATATGAAACGAAAGCGCCACGTAATTAAAATGAAAGTTTAAATAATAATAATAATAATAATAATATTTTTTAAAATTAAAAATTAAAGCCGTTCACACCTGTACTTATAACACAAGCAGTCGAGGCCGCGCTAAAGCTTGTGCAAATTCCACGTTTGCACGGGATTCCAGCAAATGCGGGAAATTGGGAGTTTTCAAGGCTTTTTTCACCTGTGTAACACCCAAATGTAGGCCCAAAGAAAGCCCTCCCGGGAGGCATTTCTCTTCGACAGATCGTGTTGCCGTATACAGCAAACATTATATTAATACATGCGGTATTTTACACTTGCAAACCCTATTAAACTATGCGAGTTTTATGTTTATGATTTAAAATTTCCTATTCAATTATATGAAATTTTTATTCCACATTACGGGCACGTTATTTTTCTCGTGTCCGTATGTTATGACTACGAGTGTGAACGCCTTTGAATGATATTTATGTATATAAAAATCTAGAAACATACCATACCTGGCTACATTATACAACGATTGATCGGGTAGAATTTTCAAAACCGTGTGTCCGTATCCAATATTAAATCTTTCTGCTTGTTTGCTGTTGGGAAAAGATAAGTAAGGTTTCCAAATTTTATCTGTTTCGTTTTCGGGAAAGAGCACCGGATATTTCGCCACATATCTCTCTAAATTTAATCTCGGATCTTTCCAAACCGTGATCAGAAATAGAAGAATACGAAAATCCTAAGAAAAGAATAGCGTGTTAGAAACTGCAACTTAAAAAAAAGAAGCTGCAAAATATACAGGGTCCTCTTGCAAGTCTGGAACCATAGGAGCCGTGTTAGATCTTTGTTTGTTCTTGTACGGATAAAACATGACGCCGTGTAAAATGGAACTGAATTGGAGTTATTTTGGTGACGTGAACCTACTGCGGGTCCACACCACCAAAATAAAGGATTTGGCGTAAAGTTGGCGAAGGATTTAATATACCGTGTCCAGATTCACGCCGACTGCGGGTCCTCATCTGGAAACAACTCGAATTCGCTTAATTTTATTCGGCGCTTTGCCCTTTGCCCGTAAGTTCTGTGGCTCCAGACTTACGGAACATCCTGTACATACACATTATATATTATTAATAGATCTTCGCGTGTGTTGTGCTCATTGCTTAATCGATCTTCACTTACCATGCTAATTTCGTTGATATTGTCGATACCTATCACTTGGCAAGATGTGTATACGGAGACGGGAGAATCTGTAACGAATAAAATAGAAACATTAACCAAAATAATCTTTTTAATAAAAAGTTAAGGCCTGTCAATGCTCCAACAAAGATTGTAGGAAAATTAATATGATTTTATTATATTAGGTCCGTATTATATTTAGTTACAGTGTATACTGTACTTGTGTTTGTGTTGTAGATCAGTAAAAGTATAGCTCATTTGAACCTTACATTACTGGTTAAAATGAAACTAATATTTGTGTATTAATACACAACATAAAATTTTAAATGTTAAAATAGTTTTTTTTTACTGAGTTCACACTTCTAAATGTGTGAATCACCAAAAAAAAACTCTTGTAATATGTTATTAAATCTCAAAGCTTGCTTAATAAAACCAGCAACGAGTTGCTCCACTTTCCCGGCAACATTTTAAATTTTGGTGGCTCCCATTTGTTATTTTATTTTAAAAACTTTTTATATTTTAAGCTTTTTTTTGCCATTTTATAATGAACAGGGATGGGTTTTATAAAAAAAAATTGTGAATGCTAATAACGAGTAAGTCCGACGTTATTGGAGATGCACAAGACCGACTTTATCTCACCACCTCGTCGACCTTTAACCTCCAAACTTTAATAGCATCAATCCCCCTAATACACAAACCTTCCTGCAAAATTTCAGAAAATTTCGACAAAAAGCACGGGTGTCATTAAGCTTCAAACAGGGTGAACATAATCGTGCCAACACCTACATATACGCACACTGACATCCATACACGCAAAAAAATTCAGGGGTTTTTCTGTCTTTCTCGACATTTCAATGTCCCCGAGTCCGAAAATATAAAAATCTCGGTGGTCATTTTCGACCATTCCTTCTGTTATAATAATTCTGCATATTTCTCATTCTCAAATTTTCTCGTAAAAATGTGCAGAAAAACCGCGACACATTTTATTAAAGGTCCTGTTACTATAAAGGTCCGTTTGGTAGTACTATATACAAAGTACTACCAAACGGTGCTACTTTGGGACAGATTTAGGAGGTGGCAGGCTGCAGCTCTGTACCCTTTCTAGGAGGTTTCCTAGTAAAGCCGGGTACTTCCGACTGTAAAAGATTTTATAAGGCATATTTTTTTCCCTTTCTGCACCCTTCGAAAGATTTTTAGATCCACTATTGATCTGGTTTGTGCTGTCTAAATCTAATAATAACCGAATGATTTACATGCAAATGTGCCGCCAAATCATGCAACATGAAAGGCTTTTGGATCATCTTGCAGAAAAATATTATTTGCTAACCTTGACCGAATAAAAATCGATTCGGATCGTGTTTTACTATTGTAAAATCGTTTATAGTTTTTAATTTTCAACTACTAGTATTTTCTTTCGAATCGTAAAATGTAATTCTATGAAAATCGCTACTTTATTGTCATCGTTTATAGTTTAAATAATTAAACGATAATAGTTATTTTTTCCCTGAACAACTGTAACATATTGATTAGAATGATTTAAATCTAGTATGGCTGCTGGCTGTAAATACAAATCCATCACGAAAGCCATTGTATTTTAAACGTTGGCTTTCGTGATGGATTTATATTTTATAAAATTTCATAAATAATTAACTCGCGTATGAAATAAATTTTGCAACTCTTGTTAATGATGATTTGAAACCAAAAAAAAAAAACAATACATATTTTTATACGCGCGTGACGTTATCGAAAATATGTTTAAGTTATGGAAACGCAACACTTGGGCGATCTGCCTATGGGGGATGCCTTCCGGGAGGTCTTTCTAAGGGAAACTGTCCCCTATTTAGGCGTTATACAGACGTGGAGAAAACCCGGAAAACTCCACGTGGCCAGCCCGTCCGAGGGAGGCGCGAACCCACGACCGAACTCCCAGTGTTCAGGGTACTCGCTCGGCCACTGGTGGGTTCTCGAAAATATGTATCGTGTAAATTTCGATAACGTCACACGATCCTTGTGAATTTTCACTTAAGTTCTATTATTATTGACTAATAATAGAACTTAGGCCCTATGTTTTAAATTAATAGGGGTATACCTCGCTAATACGGCGGGTTAGTTTCAGACCACCGCAATAAATCGAATGATGGGTTTTTGTTTTCGTTTGCCATGCGTATAAAATTCTGAGAACCTATTTACACTAGCATTTAAAAAACCTAGGTCTAAAAAACGATGAAAAAGTAAAAATAATAAATAAAATATGTAATACAGAAAGCCCCATAAGAGCGAGGCAAACGCCGAAAATGAATACACAGCGAAAATCCTCCAAACGTACACTTTCGCTCGGAACCATTGATGGTCGCGAGGTAGGAATGATATGCGAAGCGCGTTAAAGCGAAGTACCCCTGTATTTTATGGGCGATTTAGTGAAATAAGAGACACTTCGCTTTTAAGCCATGCAGTTATATTGTGATAATTTCTATCAATGGCAAAATGTACTGTAATGCACATTGCTCGAGTTATCCGAGTAACAGTTTAGCTGCAGAATTTAAAATTGGTGAGATGGTGGGTTCAAATCCCGCTTCAAATGGATGCTCGTGAATGTCTCCTTTGTTTACGGGTTATCCAAACGGCGCTTCGTCGGAGTATTGTTTTGAGCTACCTCAAACGAAACCCTCGCTAGCTAATGTGCCAATCTTAACACTAAGATTAAATTATATTAGTATTACGTTATATCCAAGACACTTATAAAATATTTCTGTATAAATAAACTTACTGTTAACAATTGGCGCGAAATGCGAGTTATAATCTTCCGGTACAATTCTGTAGTCCATTTTGATGAAGGCATAAACAGTCAATAAAACAGACGAATGCTCGTGTGTTGGAAAGTAATCAATATAATTTGTTTGGTGAGTTTTCATTGCGCATAAATCGCATGTTTTAAAACATACATGGCAGTTATAGTGATCGATGTTTGCCAAAATAGAAGCAGTTAATGGCATCGATATTCGTCTATTGTTTAAATTATCTGCTTGTAAATCTGCAATAACGCGCTTTAAATATTTGTAAATGATCCGATAGGCTAATACTTTTTTTAGAAAAACTCTTGTAGTTAATATTGTGTTATATTCGTAACGTGATATTTATAAACATAATTATAGTTCTTTAGATTAATTAATATACATTGAATTAAAAATTTCTGTGCGGTTATTTTTAGTATTAAGCACAATTTCACTATTGATTTACTCAAATCTCTGTTGAAACCTTTTTCAAAGTTAGAATTTGCTTTGAAAAATTAGTTTGTCTACTGTAAACAATGGCAAGAAATACCAGTTTACCTACTTTTTAGTAACACGTAATGGCGTGTTAAGGCGCTGCTGAACACTACATTTCGAGGCATTCTTCGAAGTATCGTTGAGGCACCCCGGTTGAAAATAATGCCTGGTCCGATTGACATAATTTTTTTTTTAAAAAAAAAACCTAAAATTCTCACAAAATAGGGAACAATTTTCTCTCTTCGTGGAGACCTCAGAAAGCCGAGGCTCTTTAGGTCCAATAGATCCAATCTGTTTAAGGAAGGCTCTGCCTTTGTGTAAGACTGACTAGAGTTAACTATAAGATTCAAATATATTATTATTAGGTAAACTTTTTAAATTTTTTTCGATTATTAAAAATAATTTATTTATTTTATTTATATTATAAATGTTGGCAATGTATAAGAACAGGTTTGTAATTCTTTATTGGACCCCTTACAAACCTGTTCTTATACATGGATATATTGTTAAAGATTTGAGGTAATTTTTTTTTTTTCTCTGGAATTCATCAAATATTTCACTGTTCAATTCGATGATGATCAATAGAATCCTGGACTTGCCCACAAAATACATTAAGATTTGGGTACAACAAATCAATTTGATTTATTTTAATTACTATGGAAGTTGTTTACTGTAACTTTGAATATTATAGAAAGGGCTTCGTAATTGAGTTTTATCATAGAGCTCGGACACACGTGTAATGTTAAAGTGCCAAATTTAATCGTTAATATCTCCAACACCAATGAACCAATTTGAAAGAAAATATTTAATAGATTTAGTGTTTGCGATGAGGACTACGGAAACCTTCAATTTTGAATAAATTCACAACTACTGGCCTTAAAGTCGTTGCAAGTACTGTACATTAATGTATTTTCTCTCGTTTTAATTGATTACAATTATTATATAATCGGCAGATTTTAATCTGTAAACCTTATAGGTCCTAATTTCTATCGTCTCTCAAATTTAATACAGTTTTAAAACCCTCCGATGCAGCAATAAAACCATCGAACACACTAGTCTTGAGTTCGTGCCTCACCAACGGGCCAAAAGCTTATTAAACTTCCTCTGCACGTAGAGTCCTCGTTTTTTTTACGTTTTTAACACTTAAATAGGTACCAGTTTCCCGTAGAAGTCCTCTCGTGGGCATCCCCGCGGCAGATCACCCACGTGTCGTAATCAAACAAACAACCCTTCAAATACTATTTATCCAACTTCAGCAAACGTCCCGTACATCGAATTTTAAATACATTTATATTTAGCTTCAAATCTTTATTCTTTAAAAGTACACGAAAAGATTGAACTGCAGAGGAAGACTGGTAGTCTCATCCCATGACAACAATACCAAAGTCACGTGCGTAAGTCCAAACAGAGGAATTAAAAGTATCGATACGTGAGAAAAATATTTATGAAAATCAAACACGTACAGTAAATAAACACAGACTTCGAGGTCTCCCTGGGTTAAAACAATAGTTAATATTCCATAAAATGATTTTTAAAACTTCCAAACTTTAGTTTCCGTGCTGCGTTTGTTTACTGCCAACAATCGTACAAAATTTAATTATTTGAATTAATGTATTTTAGGTGTTGTCTCGGCTACAAAAATATAATCAGAGAAAACATTTAACTCCTTTGGGAGGAAAATTTTCGAATTGAATAACGTGACTTCCGGTTTGAATCGGAAGTTCGTATTCACTTAATCGGGGCCTTCGGCTTCTAAGCTTTCCACTTCTAGTCTCGAATTTCATCTATCTAACACCCTTCTCGAGATTAAGGAAAGGCAGACAGTGGGAATTTATAGGAACCCCGAAATTTACTCTATTATATAAAACGTGATACAAGAGCGATGTATATTACTGATTATTTGGTAAGTAGGTGATGAAAAAATATGTTTTATTGATTTTATTTGTATATAAAACGGATAAAATCAACGACTTTCGGTGGAGAGTAGAACCTGGTATTTGTGAACGACCCGCCTCACTCTTCGCCTTTTCTATAATTTCTATAGTAACCGAATACTTGTGTATTAAAATCATGTAATTTGTACAGGCCATTGTAATTTTAATAATAGATGAAATAATACAGTATAATAATTATAATTATCCGACTACTTTTGTTCTGTTTGTATATTTTACAATATAAACGTTTAATCTGTTTAATTCTTCAATAAATTCTGTCGCCAGTTAATTAATAAATGGTTGTTGAGGATTAACCTTAGCATGGTTGGGTCCCGTCGTCCCTTTCATTTCAGAAATGTCCTGGTAGAATCGTTCTCCATTCGTCGCTCACAGCACACGTTCTGTGGAAATATATCGAGATGAGAATGGAGAAGATGAATCTTTAAGGTCATACTGTAACCAATTTCAGTGACTCTGACACTAGATATTCATAGTTTTTTCCTGTTTTCCAGAAATCCTCTCACCACTGCTTTGAACGAATTGATTATTCACCAATAATTGCACTATTTTTCAAATAATATAAAAAAATTTTCCGATTGGAAGGTTTTTGCGTGCAAAATCGTGTTCCCTAGTGTTGTTAATGCTTATTTATTGTTTTTATACTGATATTAATCTCTATGATATTAATGTTTGTTGAATTCATGATACTCCTCGTTACTGAAACATCTATTTTTTTTTTTTTTTTTTTCAACTTTCCACCCTGTGGACAATAGAAGGACTTATTTTAGCGAGTTTTTTTTTTTTTTTTTTTTCAACTTTCCACCCTGTGGACAATAGAAGGACTTATTTTAGCGAGTCCATCGTGGCATCGGCCAGGGCCATAGTGAGGGACGGTGCCCAAAATATCCGGACAGACCACCCCCGAAAAATTACCTGGTTTAGGAGGACAAAGTCTCCGTTCAGAGAACGTTCGCTTAACCCAGGTTCTATTGTTATTAGTTTAAAAATAGTGTCTAGACAAATAGAAGTTTATTATTTATTACTTATTTTTAAATTTAACAAATCATAAAATTTGAATAAACTTCGGTTTCTATTTTTTATCACACAAGTACAATAATTGTCATTTATTTATTTTATTAAGTACAGGGTTGATGTAATTAAATTTTCCTTCTTCGGGGTCTTCTATAGCTCGATCTAACAACCGGAACATCGCCAAATTTGGTAGGTAGATTAATTAGAACATGGAAAGCGGGATTCCGCAAAATGATTTTAATGCCGAAACTCGCCGAGAGAAGTAACGTGGAGCTGTTGTAGCCGAGCAAGCCCATGCTTTGGAAAATAATACGGTGACCACGCATTATAAAGTGAAGAGAAAGCGTCAGAAAGGCATTCTTACTGATAATTATCGACTTGCGCAACACGTTCCTTCAGACAGGTTCTGTTATTCTTATCGAGGTTGCAGTGTTTAGTCCACGAGAACCATACTACCTTTCATCTTATAATTAGTCTGACTACCAAATTTGGCGACGTTCTGGTTATTAGATCGAGCTGCTCTCCGAATAAGAAAAATTTAATTACGGCAACCCTGTACTAAATATCTATTTATGTAAAAGTACGTAACCACTCGAAAATGGCAACAGAGAAACACGACAACATAATTAAAATGAAAACGGATAAAGTTGTAACGGGTGAAGCTGAACCTTTTACCATCTTTTTCGGTCCTCCGTCCGGAATTTCGTTTTCTTTTTCGGGTGGAAGTGTCGTAGATTCGTATTTTGACTCGGTCGTAGTTACCACTGTAGTCTTTTGTGTAGTGGTGGTTGTAACCTCTGGTGTTTCGGGTTTGATACCTTCCTTACAGAGATTTTCTTGAGAATAATTCAATAGCAGACAGACCTTAACACAAATTGTAAAATTGAAAAATAACTCGGCAATGTTGTTATAATTTTGTTATACAAGCAATCAATAAAATAATACATAAATAACTATATAATTATTTAAAATTCTTATTTCTCTTTCTCTCTATATATATACACTGTCAGATTGTCAGACCTGTCTTATGTGGCTAACTCAGTTTGGACACTACAATTCAATGGTGCTAAAACTACAGCTGTGTTTTGCTAGCTTCCTTTACACTATACAATAGAGTTGAGCTTTGATGGTGGAGGCAGTTCACATTATACACAGTAGTTTTGGTTTAATGTGAGGACATTTTAAAGCCACTTTGATTATAAAATAACCTCTAACACTAATATTTTATTAGACTTTCATATATTTCAGGTGTAGGCCTACGCCCCTTACTAGAGTTCGGCAAAGCTCGGCTCATTCAGTAGAATTCCATGACAAAAAAGTCCTTTAAAAATTGCAATCCAGGATTAAAATTTTTTAATCACATTTTAAATTTATTTAATTTAAAATATATGCTCTCCACCTCAAATTAGTAGTGTCTTGCCCCCTTCACGTCATACTTTTCCTTTGCCAATAGAGTCCTGCCGGTTATCCATCTAACACCTTTCGGAGAAAAACTTTTGAATTGAAATAACGTGACTTCCGATCTAAAGCGGAAGTTCGTATATAGTTAATGGTGGCCTCATGCCTCTAAGATTTCCATCTCTTCTCGTTTTTCATCTATCTAACTTCGTTCTCGAGATCAAGAAAAGACAGACGGACGGACGACAGTAAGGATTTATAGGTCTACAATTTTTTTTTCAAATTGCACTCCAATATATAATGGTCTTTCCACATGTAAAGATGTGAAGTAAGCAAGCTGCAATTTTTGTAGCTCGTGCAAATCCGTCCCTGCCCAAAGTTGTGACGTGTCTGACTGTATACGCCATTTTTAATTTAATATTATACACGAATACAAATTTGCATTATGTACAAAATGTAAAACTATCAATAATTTTTAAAATATTACTCACTTTATCTCCTTTTAAGATGCAGTCATAAGCCTAATTATTAGGGAGAGGAAAAAAAAAAACACAAATTAATCGGTTTAGAAGGATTTTAAGTCTTAGAATTATATAAAATTTAAAAAGAAATGGCCGTTATTACAGGTTACTTTTTAAATATTTCACCTAAGGAAGATAGTGTCTTCCTTGGGTACGAGCCCGTAGTATAGTAGAAGATACTTTCTCTTCCTCGTGTGAAATCTTTAATGAATTTTAACAGGTAATACTTTGCGGAATATTTAAAAAATTATATTTTCTTACTTTTTGAATATGTTGGCAACTACATAATTTAGTACGATTTGTTTTAACTTCTAAATAAACGTCTTGCAGGCAGTAGGCAGCGTCGGTGTACTGCAAAAGAAGGCATTAATTAACGCATTACCCATTCTGCAAAATTGCGTACAAAAAAAACCAGTAATACCTTGACCGAATTCTCTTCCGATTTTCCTAAAATGCACTCGAAAGTTTTGGTTTTCATAATATTTTCTGGAAATTTTTCGTAGTTTAAATATAAGTTCGTACAGTATACGCTAAATCTTCGTATTAAAAGTCGTACTTACGGCATTTTAAGTCGTAACAGACGTTGGCCATGTTCTCTTGGATTTTGGGACAATTTCTATCATCGCATTTAGCCGAATTAAAATACGCAAAACTCGCAACAACGGTCCAGAAAATGCGATGTATTAGAGCTAAGTCTGCCATTTTGACTTTCGTGTGTCGTAATTTACTATTTGTATTTGCAGAACTGCAGCTGTGTGAGCTTAGTACTTGCACTGCCACCGAAATTTAAAATATTCTCGTACAGGAGACTGTTCGTAGTTTTTTTTAATCAATAATTAATGAAATAAACCTTTAATAATACTTTTTTTCTATCGATTAATTAGATATCGTTTCGTTTCTAATAACGTATCTCCAGAGGAAAATGGCGAGACGGAAAGTAATTAAAAGCGTAAATTACGTGCGCGTTATTGTTCGATATTTTAGAATTTTATATATTTAATTATTACGTGTGACCGAATCTCTTGTACATTCTTTTGGTTTAAATCGGTAATGAGGAATGTTTTCTGTAAAAGTAGGCGGAGTTGCGGATGCTTCTAGCCAGCTGAGTACCAATCTAACATGCTCCAAAACCGCCAGTAGACTAGGTATTAAAATATTAATAATACATGCTAGTGATACGCAAAACTAGTAACATGTATCCTAGAGATGGGCGAATACTCTGTTAATAAAAAAAATTCAATACTATGAAATACTTCTAATATCGCGCCATACGTACAGTACAAAACAGCGTCTCTTAGGCCGGTTTCAGATAGGGAATTTTTCGATAAAATCCCGTAATTTGGGGAAATTTGCACACTCTTCGGGAATAATTGACTAAAATAATTATTGATATTCCACGTATTGAAAATATTAAAAAATGATAACGTTTTATCGATTTTTTTTTCAATTGTCACACACTTTGTCTTTCGTTTATGTACAGTACATATTATTTGTCCGCGTGGAATTGAAGGTATTTAATTTTCCACGTGTAACTCGGGGTTTTTTTTTTATTTCTGAACGGTACTTTCTTAATTCTAATAAGTGCTCTCCAGTAGCCGAGTGGATAAAACAACCGAACACCGGTAGTTAGTCGTGGGTTCAATGGGCCGACCACGTGGAGTTTTCAGGGTTTCTTTCACGTTAGCAACATTTAAATAATGTCCAGCTTCCCGTAAGTCTTCCTAGGATGCATCCCCTCGGCAGATAGCTCACGTGTCGCATTGTCGTAACCAAATAAACCAAACTAATTCTAACATCGTCACAATATTCTCGATTCTTTTAGTGGTGCAGTATAATATAAGTACTATATATACAGTATATACTACAAGTACTATAATGTAATAAAGGGTTAAAAGTACGAAATAATCTAATAGAGTATTTCGTACTCTAATCTTAATCTTTGGTATTATTTTCTACCCAGGCAACGATGGGCTCATCTGCTAGTAATTTATAAATCTACTAGCAGACCCCGCCACGCGTTGTTGTGGCTCAAAATGTATCTATTATAAATTTATAACACTTTCCCGTGGGGGGGCAAATTTTTCGAAAAATTTCTTCTTAGTGTACATTCTCTTGACGTACCCTATTAAAACGCAAAAACCCGCATCTAAAATAGTATAAATAGAAGCAGAGTTCTTTACCGTAAGCCTTAATCCTAACCATCTTCCTTCAGTGGGGTTGAATTTCGACATGTATATTATATAAAAACACGTGCGTATTCGAATGCAGCGTTGTGTCAAAATTTCAAAGGAATCGGTAGGAACAAACGAACATTACATTTTTATTT